TTAAGAAGAGTGAAATGGGTGGAGAAGCTAATATAGAAGATATAGAATGGTAAATAAAATAGGTAATGGCATGTAAGATGAGCATGAATTTAATTGAAGTCCATATAGAGAGAGGTATCTGGGCCCAAGTTACTTTCCTAAAAGATGTCTTATATTTTTGTGTTTTGTGTGTTTATGTAAGTGGGAGAATTAATAAAACCTTGCAGGAATGTAGGATGAGAATAATGGTAACCAAGTCAGAGAGAAATAGATGATAATTATAAATTGGATAAATATAGAGAAAAATAATAATAATAATAATGAAATTGAATAAGAGTAAAGAGAAATAAGGATAAATTTGATAAGAGATATTTGTATGTTCATATGGAAATGGTCTAAAATAGAATTATGTTGTATAAAATAATGTTTTTTGACTTGTAAATTTTTTAATGGAAAGAGGTTTATGTATTTAATGGTTAATGATGGTTTGTTTGTCTTTAAAATTAATAAAATTTGTTTAAAAAAAAAATAGGACGACTGGTTAGAGATTTGTTTTTTCTCCAGTAAAAGCTAATGCAAAGTGATGGACGCCCTGTTGACCTCCACCTTTTTATCCAATTGTCCAAAGATTGTACTATTCTTCTACAGTCTCAGTCAGTATTTAAGAAGAATAATACCCTGAAATCAGCTAATTAATATCCAACCACTCTCTTAAATGTTATTAATAAATGATAAGAACCTTCTCTTGGCCATCAATCCAATTTCTAACAGGATTATATTGCCTTCTTGAATATTTTCTTGCATTTTGAATATTTTATAATTTTATAATCTTAAATTTTAAATTTAACATTTTCATTCTCACTATAGTTCTACGTTTTTTAAAATAATTCGCTTTACCTTCGAAGGCAAAGGGAAGGTGGTGACAGGAGCGCCTGAAGCCAAGTGTCTCCTCAGGGCTCCGGTTGCAGGGAGGAGCCCTGACTGGCCGCACGTGGCTGTGCCAAACGCCGCGGCAGCAAGGGAGAAGGGAAAGCAATGGTGGCGGAAGGTCTCCCGAACATCCAAACTGTCGCCGCCCGCCTACCCGAGGATGCAAGGGGGGGAACTAAGTCACTCTCGAAAAGACAGCCTAGCCGTTTTTTCGGGGGTCAAAAAAAAAAAAAGGCCTGGCCTTATTTTGTGAGAAACACGGTAGAATGAAATTCAAAATCAAACTGTTTCACTTCAACTTGTTATTTCAAAATTACTGCAAAAGGAGAAGAAACTGGTTCAAATAGTGCTGCAGTATTTGTTATCTTTAGATTTATATTCCACATTCTTTTTACAAATAACTCAAGATGGAGAACATATCCAATAATTTAAATCATTAAATTATTCTTTAATTATCACATTTTGATCAATATTTTATTTGAATTTTATGAGTTGCACTTAAACTTATTGAGCAGTAATTTTCTCCATATTATTAGATGCAATTTCCCCCTAGACCTCTGTGTTAACCTGTATTGTATTACACGTTGTGTTTGAATTTTAAACTGAGATAGCTGAAATAGCATAAGTACAAAACAGAACTTGTGCAAATATATCATCCTGTGCTATTGGCTCAAAAGTCTGTTATTCCTTTGCTGCCTACAGGCAAACATGAGCTTTCCTGCCCACACATGTTTTGGCACTTCTGGTCTTAAATTAATTCTGAATAAGCCCAATCATAATTCACCAGTAGTTTGTTTTTAAAAAAGAAAAAAAACAATAATTTTATTTTTCATAATCAGGCTGTATTTACCAATGTATTTACCAATGCTTGATGTGATACAGCTTCCTTGATGCCAAGAGAAGTTATTCCTGTTTTTCTACTCTGTCCAACTCCTTTTTCTACTTTCTGCCTGGACGAAGGACAACATTTTGTCCTACAAAATCTATGAGAGAGATAGGTAAGCAGAGTAAGCAAGGATATGGGGGTATGCTCTGTATCTTTGTGGCCATAAATCACCCATTCATACCTAATATGCATATTTTCCACATTGAAATGTTTTCTATGTGCTAGATTTATTGACCAGCTTAAGGACTGAATTACAATAATTCCATATTGATATTAAATTTAATACTATATGGGTCTATTTGTATTAGTTTTTCCTTTTGTTATGTTCAGTTTATTTTAATGGCTCTGATGCATGTAGTTTTAAATTTTATTATATAACCAGTATTGTGTTTTTTTCTGGTGTTGTAATTGCTTGTTGCTTTTTGCCATTAAAAAAAGTTAGTGACATTCCTTACTTTAAAAAATTACAGTCATATTTAAATACAAATCTTTTTGCAAGTTAATACAAATTTTGTAACAGTAAAACATATATACTAATTAATCTTATACTTTTCTTTCCATGCCACTGAGTGGTACTTTTTGAAAACAAGAAAATGTTTGGCATTTGTGGAACTATCTAAATTATTAATAAAACCTTTGTGGAAATTACATTAGAAAAATCAATATACAATATACAAAGGCTAATAAAACCAAAGGGCTTCTTTTATATGCCTGATTATTTCTTTTTTCTCCCAAGTTATTTTTCCTGTTATATAAGCATTCTCCCCTTGCAAAATGTCTGCCTGGCCCTTTATTATGGCACTACAGTAACATACAAGGCTGTTTTCCTGAACCAAATGGCTTCCATGTATGTTGAAAATGAACCTTAGAAGTTTCAACTAGAAAGTGGCTTACACACACCCTTCCTGAGGCCCAGTGAACTTGCAGTCTTTCTAATTCCTTTCTGCTGCTCTCTGCAGCTGTCATCACCTCCCCAGCTTTATTTTTACTCATACTACTTCCTCCTCTGCCCATTGGGTTATGTTGTTCCTATTCGCACTGTACCAAATAATGTCCGCCTATCCACAGTATTATTCGCACATTTTCCTCCTTACTGAAAGAAATGCAAAAGGATCTAGTTGTTTTCTCCTAGTCAGAAGCAAAGCAAAGCAAATCTCTAGGTTTCTGCCATTTTTCTAAATAGATTTCTGTGGATCCCTTGGAACTTAGAAAGAGCTAGGAAGGTTGTGTGCTCTTTGAAGTAACTCCCAGTAATTCAACACACTGAAATGATTTGGGTTTGACAAGATACATACTGGCAAGATATACTCTAAACAAAATGGTTTTTAGTTTTTCTTCCTTATAACTATGCATTGTAAGGGCAATTATGTAATGCTGTCCATATTTTCTCTCAGAAATGCAGTTTTCCTCATTAGATAATACATGAAAAACTTCAGAGGCATGCCAAAGTGCTCTGGAATAAAACTTGAAAATAATCCTGTATGCTTTTCCTTGTCAGCATGTCAGTTATTCTGTTTTTTAGTACATTCTGAAGAAAATGTGCATTTTACATTGCCTTTTGGAAAAGCATGTTATTTCAAATCACACTTATAATTCAGCTGAAGACCTTGATTAGGATCTTCAGAGGCAGATCATCCTTTACATGCATTGTTTAATGTCATTATGTATCAGAGTTTTATTTTTATCAGTGTTAGTCATTGCCACATTACTGAACTGACAAACATAATTACTATCATGCTAGAACGTGAAGATTCAAGTCCTAAAGAGACAGTAGCAATATAAAGGCTCTTTAATTATTAATGGAGAGAATGACAAGATATTGTAGCAGAGACCATAATTACAGGCAGCTACAGGAACCTCTGTGATGACTGAATTGACAATCTATCAGCAGTTTACAATACAAGTGATCCTCATTTAATGACCACTACTCAGCAGCCATTCAAATTCACAATGCTGAACTAGTGGTACATACAACGGGTGTCATACAGTAATTAGTACAGTCACAGAATCCCTGCAGTCATGATCTGGGTCCCCGGTGCCCAATTCATAACTATGATGTTGCAGTGTCCCTTGGTCACCGTTTGCAACCTTCACTGCCTGTTCCAACAAGCAAAGTCAACAGAGAAGCCAGTAGGAGGATGCATATGGTGACCACAACATTGCGCTTTATGGCATTTGTTTCATTTAATGACTAATTGACATGTTGGGATTGCCATCGCTAAGCAATACAACTATGTGACATCATGCTTTCTGGTCACACCTCTCAGCGGTGGAAATACTGGTTTCAATTACTGTCATTAGGTAAAGCTACCTATACAACATAAGGCCAAGAGATATAAAAATCTTTATTTAAAATTCTTGGGCCAGTTTTTAAAAATGTGATTTGATGACCCCATTTTGTAAGGTAGGAAAGAGATTAGGATGCCAGGTTATAGGGAAGTTTGACTGTATTGTGTGAGACAAGTCCATAGCAACCATAGATAATCTCAAAGAACAGGCAAACATGTATTTTCTCAATTAGCCAGAATCCAAGCCACGGGAGATTTAAAAACTAATGCCATGGAACTTTGTTCAGGAACAAATTGATAGCAATGCAGTGCTTTTAATATAGGTATTACCTGACTTCTCTTAATTTTTCCAGAGATCAGCTGGTTGCTGTGTTTTGTATCAAATGATTATTCAATACTAGATGCCAAGTCCATTTTGCTCAGATACCAAAAACAAACACCCCACCACAATTATGCAATTGGTAAAGTATAAAGAAACACAATCCATTAGTTCTGAATCAACACGTGGAATCTTAAATACAGACTAAAGTATAAATTACATTATGGCCATAAAGTCTCAAATTTGTGCAAACAAAAGATGCTGAGTTGTAATGGGTTTTTTTAACTGATGCTTGAGGTGACTCATAATCCTAGTAAGCAGTCTTGAACAAGGTTGGGGTTGTTGTTTTTTGGTCTCTTTCCTTCCTTCCAGAATTACCAAACAGCTTCCCGTCATTACGCAGATTCAGATTTTTCCTCCTTCTGTTTTGTTGTTAAAGCATATCCAAATTGGAACAGAGAAAACCAAAGAAATCTATTCCAATCCAAGTTATAAAGATTAGTATGAATAGTTGAAAAACAAAATAAGAGAGGGATGCAAACTGAAGGGAATTAAAGACTTCCATATCTTCTCCATCTTTATTTACACCATTTATATTTATCATGCAGACATATATATATATATTATTTATGCCTCTAATCCATTAATTTCAAAACTGTTTAAAAGACAGAAAGAATGAAGATAGTCTGATTAAACAGATTGTTCCTGTCTGCAACAACAACAAAAAAATACAATGAAAATCTGCTCCCATTAATTCTATCAACTCCAGGGTTCACTTTCCTATAGAACAGTAAGTAATAATATCTTGGTTCAATGTTTTTTTGAACTAAGCCTATACAGTACTACATGAATTGGACCTCTCACACGAGTGTCTTTTATGTATAATTGCTGAGAAGGTACTAATTAAGTATGTTGACTTTTACATGATGTAGGATGCTTTTTCATTTTGAAGTAACAAGGATTGTTCCTTTCTCTCCTTGATTGTGAAACAACCCCAAAATGTATTTCCTCAAAAATGAAATCAACAGAATGATTATTAAAATCTCAGAGGGCAGAAGCTACCCCACATTTAAAACATTGAATGCAAAACTCTTCATTGTTGAAACAAAGAGAAGAAAATAAGACATCTCTACAAATCAAGATGCTAGCAGCAAAATCTTCAATCTCTTTGCACACTGAAACATACAGCAAACACTAATGATCAAATAGTAGATACAGGTTATTTCAACTAAATATCAATACTACATCTTTTTGACAAGGCAAATACTGTAATCATGAAATGTAAAATCCATGAACTTATTTCTAAAATAACCAAAATAAAATATTTTAGTTATTTGTGAATCTATGCAATTTTCTATGTCACATAAGAGAAAAGTATCATTTTAGAGAAGTGAATCTATATGCATTGATCTAATTATAAAATATTGGGTTTAATATGCATAAGCCATAACAGAATTAGAAAACAGAAATAAACCATCCAAGATGGCTTGGTAGAAGCACTTGCAATTAGTGTAACAATCAGTTCTCAAAGTTAAGAATCCTTTAAGTATTGCATAGCATCATGAGAAGACCAACCAGCAATATATCAGATTGTGATTATTGTTAATTTTTCCCCATTAGTACAAATGCTAGAAACATGATGAACCCCTTGGAACAAAATATGAAGCAAATTATCACAATTACCTGAAATACTAAAGATAGATATAACATGTCAACCTTTATTATATAACATATAAAATACTAAAATGATTTACAGATGCAACATAAATATAGTTAGACAAGAAATAGTTTCAGTATTTTTTCATGCTGTTGGATGTCCGGAGTGCTGGTTTGGAACCGGGAAGAGGTGGCGATTGCCATACAGCCGAACTTGTACGCTTGAAATACCTTGGCTTACTTTTATAGAAGATATCCTCTAGCTTAGGGCTCATTATGAGACCAAATAACCTGTTGACATCTGGAGGATTGTAGTACTGGTATGTAACAGCTTCATTAAGTTGACCCCCTGAGGAAATAACCATTTTCATACATGAGTAATTCTTCAGGCAGCAACACATCTCCAACCAAAGTACTTCTACAATGTATAGGTAGTTCTTGGCCCACAGGCCACATGCTTCATGTGCTGGCCACACCCATGCCCGGTTTAGTGAAAGGGAGAAAGGTCCCGATATGTCACGTGACCTCACCGTGACAACGTGAGTTTGACACCCCTGGCCTATAACCTTTTGTTTAGTAACCATTCAAAATTACAAGTGCACTGGAAAAACCTGACTTATGACTGTTTTTCACATTTATGACCATTACAGCATCCCCATGGTCACGTGATCAAAATTTGAATACTTGACAACTAACTCATATTTATTGCATCATCTCAGGGTTGCATCATCTCGGGGTCACATGACCTTTTGCAACCTTTTGACAAACCAAGTCAATGGGAAAGCCAACTTCACTTAACAACCTAGTTACTAACTTAAAAACTGCAGTGTTTCACTTAACAACTGTGGCAAGCAAGTCATAAAATGGGACATAATTAACTTAACTGTCTCACTTAGCAACAGAAATTTTGGGCTCAATTGTGGCCATTAATTCAAGGGCTACCTGTATAAAATGGCCAGAATGTGAAGTTCCTCCAGCAATTCTAATAATAATCAATTGGTCTGCAGCAAACAAACAAAGCTTGCCACTCCAACTCAAAGATAAAGACATAAATTTGTTAGTGGCCTAAAAAAGACGGCACTATGGAAAAAAATGCAGTTTCCAATTATCAGTATCACTGTTTCATATCATAATTTACTGAATTTTGACTGGCGCTTTTTTTTACTTCTTTTACTCTTATCATAATAGTAAGATACTATACTGTAAAATGTAATTCTGAAAAGATGCGTATATACCATTGGCCCACAAGGGGATGGGTTTGCGAGGCTGACTTTCATCATCAGTGGAGTCATCGCTATTCAGATCCATTCCATAATCATTCAGATTGACTTTGAGTGACTTCATATCTTTCAGATCTTGGGCATCCACTCGGTTGGAAGTCCCACTATAAGATTTCTAAAGTACAGGCAAGGTTTAATCAACGTTACAAACTCAGCAGTTATCAACAGTGGCTCTTTGTGACTACCCTGCTTGCCTTTCCAAAATTTATGCATATACTTTTTCATGGAAGCAGCAGCTAAAAGTTATATTGTGACTTTATGTACACAAAGATTATGGAAAGGTTGCTGTTCTTCTCCAGTTGTGTTTACAGACAAATGAATAACAGAATCTGAAGCTCTTCACCAACAATATACAGTAAAATCAATAGTGAATGATTACTGTCTGAAAAATAAATAAGTAGAAAGAGGCAGGTGACTGAACCACAGAACCCAAGTGATTCAGCTCTGCAAGTTTCCAAAAATAAAGTAAGGAGGTGACAGTGGGTAGAGGCAAATTTTCTATTTGAATATGTCAAATGGAAACAATTGCATTTAAAAAGAACAAATGACTACATAATTTTGGCTGTTTTATGTACCAGCACTAACTTTGCTTCAACACATTTCACAAACTCAGAAACCCATCATAATAATGTCTCTTCCTCCTTAAATGGCTGAAATAATAACTCTAGGTTTTCTTACAAAAATCCTGATAGGTATTTCTAATCAAATTTTTCACTGGCCCATGCTAAAAACATGGAATCCATTGGGGAACAGGAACTGAATCTAGCTGTTATTATTACTATCTCACCTCTTAAAGTCTAGTATCTGCTACCTCTCTTTTTAGATATCCAAGCTATAACCACTGTCTTATGTTGATAAATTTGTAAAATCTTTAGTACTCCAGTTCAATGTACAGGCCTGTCTAAAAACTCATCTTGCTTTTAAAACTAGTATAAGCTGCAAAATATTGGCGGGCATATTCTAATTTTTAAGAAATAAAGTGCTCTAAGTTTCTATTGCAACCATTCTTGAAAGAGATATTTTCATAAGGTTTTGATAAAGTCAGTTCTATAGAAGGATGCTAATTTGAATAGACAAACTGTGGGAGAACAAAAAGTAACAGATTATTTGAACTGCTAAATAATCTTCCACAAGCATTCAGGCTTGCAGCTATGTTCATATATCATGTGATCACTGGCAGAATTTGGGACATTTATAACTTTACAAGAAGCTTTTACTTCCAAAACAGAAGCTGTTTTTCTATTTTCTATGAGTGGTAAAAAATTATTTCAATTGTATCCAGTTTATATCTTACAAACAAAGGCTCTGATAGCGACTGTTAATCAATTTAAGTGGTACAGTAGGAATTCTTTCCAAAATCTTATAACAATTTTGATGCAACAACAAATAGCATTCCAAATAGTTCAAGGAATTTGATGCATATACAATATCAATAGAATATTACACAAACATTTAACAATTTTGAAAATATTACAGTGTTATCTTGGGATATCTGTTCATGACAACTGACCAAACATGAGAGTGAAGTAAATAATCATTTTAAAGAGAACTTTGCTGAACTTTATCAAAAAAGGACAGTACAAATTTCCTGCTCTGTGGGTTAGATTGCTGTGACAAGCTATTATTTTTATAAGCATTTCTGCTAAAATGAGCCAGTGATTTAATTCGCTCAATGCTACAGTATGCTAACATATTTTTACATTAATATACTCCAGTATTTTATTTTGCTAAAATCTTAATAGACATGTGTCAAGGAATATTTTATATTTAGTTTGTCTACAATCTTGGACATTTAATGATATACTTCAAACATTCTAGCTCTATCTTGTACTGATTAACAATAGCTTAGCTAAAATGAAGATGTTTGAGTGTGAAACATTAAGCCCTAAGGTTTTTTTTTCTTTTAATTCTCTAATTCTGTTATATGTTCAATACTTTCAGCCCTTCACCTTCTGTTGCACTTTCCACAGAATTGGAAGATTAATGTTTAGCTTACAAATGCTGAAGTCCTTTGTATAACAACACATTAAAATAAATCCAGCTATGACTATTACAGAGCAACTTAAACCCAGAATTTTAGTCTCCAAACAAAATGCCTTTTAAAAATTATTTGATATTTCAGAATAGCAATATCAGAAAAATACTTTCATAGATACCTGTGGATACCTGTGGATACCTGCAATATCAGAAAAATACTTTCATAGATACCTGTGGATCTCATTTTAATTATATTAACATATATGGTTACTTAAAATGGGACCACATTAGAAAGTATGAATTGTGTCTCACAGAGCAACTATACTGAGCACAATAACCTTTCCCTTCAACAGAGCAATCAGTGAACTTCATCCACCATGGTCCTATGCCCTCTTGTGATCATATACAAATATTGCAGAACCCACAATTGCTTATACCACTGAAATTCCTCCCTTGCATTCAGGTGGATAACATTTTGCAGATGGCATGTAGTCCAGGAAGTGCTTAATATAAGGTTTAAATCAAAGAAGTCATTAAAGAAAGTATATCAAAGATGGCCAAATTAAGTGTGAGGGACTACATATTTTGAAAAATATTAAGTTAACTGTGATTGAAATGTTCAATATTCATTCAACAGCAAAGGTACTGACATTTCAGGGAAAAAGAATGTATGGAATTCTAGAAGCAACACCTTTTGTCAGAAAGTTTCTGAAAAATGACAGAACATACAGTGGAAAGAAGGCAATTATACAAGATAACTTTCAATGATATTTGTCTGTCTGAAAGAAGAGGGACAGAAGTGTCCCTCTAGTTTAGAAGCAGAAAATTATTTCAGGCCTTGGACAATGTCAATACTTTTTACATTTCAGTCTCCACTGCTGAGTAAAAATGTTCTTCACCCATTCTTGGGCATGCGTCATTATGTCTTCCTTTTACAATCATGATCCTGATAGTATACTTAGACTTCAGCAAGGCTTTTGACAAAGTAGACCACAACCTACTTCTTGGTCAACTAGAAAAATGTGGGATAGGCAGCATCACCACCAGATGTATTTGCAACTGGCTGAAAAACAATATCAATCAGCAGTTCTTAATGGTACTAAATCTACATGGAGGGAAGTAAGCAGTGGGGTAACACAAGGTTCCATCTTAGTTAGGCCCAGTACTCTTCAGTATCTTCATAAATGACATGGATGACGGAATAAAAGGGGAATTCATAAAATTTGCAGATGACACAAAGCTGGCAGGTATAGCCTATATCCCAGAAGACAAGCTCAGGATCGATCCAAAAAGATCTTGACAGACTTAACAATGTGCCATATCCAACAACATGACATTTAGTATGTAGAAAGGCAAGGTTTTACATTTAGGCAGGAAAAACCAAAGGTACAAGTACAGATTAGGCGAAACCTGGCTCAAAAACAGTAATTGTGGGAGGGACCTTGGAGTCCTAGTGGACGATCACTTAAACATGAGCCAGCAGTGTGCAGCCGCCACCAAAAAAGCTAATACAATTCTTGGTTGAATAAACAGAGGCATAGAATCAAGTATTAGTGAAGTATTAATACTGCTTTATAAATCCTTAGTAAGACACACCTGGAATACTGCATCCAGTTTTGGTCATCACATTACAAAAAAGATGTTGAGACTGGGGAAAAGTGCAGAGAAGAGCAACTAAGTCTACTAAAGGCCTGGAGATCAAAATATATGAAGAACTGTTGCAGGAAATGGGTTTGGCTAGTCTAGAGAAAAAAGGGCTAGGAGGTACATGATAGCAGTATTCCAGTATTTGAGAGGCTGCCACAAAGAACAGGGGGTCAACTTATTTTCTAACGCACCAGAAGGCAAGGCAAGAAACAATGGATGGAAACTAATCAAGGAGAGAAGCAACTGGAATTAAGGAGAAACTTTTTAACAGTGGGAACAATTAACCAGTGGAACAGCTTGCCTTCAGAAGTTGTATGTGCTTCATCACTGAAGGTTTTTAAGAAAAGACTGGGCAGCCATTTGTCTGAAATGGTATAGGTTGTCCTGCTTGAGCAGGGGGTTGGACCAGAGGATCTCTAAGGTCCCTTCCAGTTCGATTCTGATTCTGACTCAATTTTGTTGCTAGAATGTATTCCCTGGAATCCCAACCTGCATCCCAGAGCATAAAGAGGCACCAGATATAGAACAACATACAGAATCTGGAGGTGGAGTCAGAGAAGGAATCAGCCTGGAGTCATTCCATTCCCACAAGTGGTCGAAGTCCAACCATGCTTGAATTCATTAACTCTTATCTAGCACAAATTTAGTGCTAACCGTTAGTTGACTAGATTCTTGTGTATAGATATGAGCAGTTAATCAGCATATCTGGACCCTAAGGTGTGGTCTTGAATCTTCATGCCTGACATTAATCTTGGGAACATAACGACTCCAGGCTGATTCCTCTCTTGACTCCACCCTCAGACTCTGTCCTCCTTCTCCTACAACAAAGTTTGGTAAATTTGGTTGGTAAGAAGAGTTAAAATGCTTTCTCCCTTGCCTTCAAAAGTTGTGGGTGTTCCATCACTGGAGGTTTTCAAGAAGAGACTGGACAGCCATTTGTCTGAAATGGTATAGGGTCTCCTGATTCAGCAGGGGGTTGGACTAGAAGACCTCCAAAATCCCTTCCAAGTCTGTTATTTTGTTCCAAGTTGTTGCAGCCATCTGATTTCCTTTCAAGTAGTCACAGTAGCGGCAAAGCCTAATAGATTCAATATGCCTTGAAGCTTCCTCTGGACCCGTGTTGGCGAACCTATGCCACGCGTGCCGGAAGTGGCATGCAGAGCCATTTCCCCCGGCACGTGAGAGGTTGCCCGGAAGAGCCCTGAGCATGTGCATGCGCCGCTGCCCAATAGCAGATTGTCGGGTATCTGGCGCGCATGCACAGGGGGCGGAGGGAAATGCACGGGAGACGTGCGCGCATGCACAGGGACATGCTGCATGTGAGGGGATCTCACGTGCATGCACAGACGCACAACACACGAGGGGGAATTGTGCACGCATGCGCAAAGACATGCAGCGCACAAGGGGGGAATTGCACACACATGCAGATGCGTGGTGCACAACGGGAGTTGCGTGTGCATGCGTGGGGGGCCCCCCAGCATGCATTGCCTTCTGGGTGCTGGCATGCAAGTGCACACAAGCGAGTGCGCATGCAATTATCGGCACAGGAGCTGTAAAAGGTTAGCCACTACTGCTCTAGGCAGTGCTTGAATAAGGTGACTTCACCACCAAATCACTTATGAGTATTGTACCCAGATCAATCTTTTTCATAGCTTGGGGATAAGACAGTATCATAGGAACATATCAGGAAGAGATAAAGAGGATGTCAAATCATAATTCTGCCATAGCAATTTGCAAATGGGGGAAGAAGGCCTCAATCATTTCTCATCTTGCAGAAGCCTGCAAAATATTTCCTATTCACCTGAGCAGTTATATTCAGCCACCCACATGCAACAGGGACGTTTTCCACCTGCACAGCTGTCTTGACCTGCGGCAGCTGAGTCAATGAGGCAGGATTTTCTTCCTATTAACCAAAGAAGAGTCTTAGTTACCAGGCCAACCAATTTAATAATTTTATAGTAATGGTTTCACATAAGACAGTCTAGTCTTTAGAACACTTTCTTCTTAGATCTCCATTGAAGTGATCTATTAATGACTCCTCAGATTTGTTTTTGGTTTAATTGCTACCTGACTGAAGAAACACACTGTGAAATCCAGCATTTGCTCTTCCATCATAATTATTGTTTGTATGCTCAGAAGGACTAGTTATAACCACTGCCTTTTCCTAGTCCTAGGGCAAAACCAACTACAGTTGTATAGTCTGCTTTTAAGTATATATAATTTCAGTTTCCATAAATCACATGAGGAAATGTGTGATTAACAATCTGTTGTCTCCCTTAAAAATCTAGAATAGTAAGTGACATGCAAAGGCTTCATTCCTTTCAGACAGAAACAAAGCGGCAGGGAGAAACTGAAGGCATACATTTTGGAAATGCAGCTAAAAATATTATTTGCTGGCAAAAGCTTGCTTGATCTTATTCCTCCCCCCTCCTCAATATTGACTTTTCAATAAGTGATCATACCTTTACATTTTCTTCCTCTTCCCTAACTACAGTGAGTTCCTGAACTTTCACTAGCTTCTCTTTATCTTGATGCCTTTGGTGCCTAAAAACAAAGCTGAGTTAATAGACAAATACTTGCAGTGCATTGATTGCTTGGAAGTAAGTTCCCCTGGGATCACCGTGAAAGCCTTGCCAAAAAAATGGGCTGAGAATGCAAACTTTCCTCAAATGTGAATAGCTTTGCTGAATGTTACCTTCAAAGGAAGTAACACCATTTCAGTTGGTTATTTGGCTCATCATTTTTGATTTTGATTGTTTTTGTGTCTCCTGTAATTCCTCGAATGTTGGCTTACCTATAGTTTCAACCTTCAGAGGTTTATTTATTTATTTATTATTTTATTTATTTGCCACCCATCTTGTATTGAAACAACTCTGGTCAGCTTACAGATTAAGGAAACAAAATTCTCACCCCTTTTCCTGTCTTGTACTATTGATTTCCAGCATTTTCTTAATCTCCCCAATTGTTCTCCATTTTTCTGGACGTTCTTGAAGTTTTGGCCCTTCTTCCTGAAACAAGCATAGAGAATCAATGTCTTTCATACATGCAAAAATACATATATATACAACGCACATACATGGGCGTGCATGAATGCACGCACACACACAGAGAAGTATATATATGGAAAAACAAGAACACTTACAATACTACGTTGATGAGAAGTCTACACTCATGTATTTATATAACATAAAATATATAAAACAGTTTTTGTTGCAGTAATATGTATGTTAAAAACTAATTTTAGAAATGAGATGGTATGGCTACTATTTTCCAAATCTTACTAATATATATTGTCAGATCAAGAACAGAATACTCCACCATTCCTCAAGACACAAAGAAAGTAGTGTCTCAACTAGAAAATTCTACATTTATCCTATCTCCAAACACATGGAAATGCTTGGGCCCATGAATGTGAGATACAAAGCAATTCTACTGAATTTAAAAAAGCTACACTAACAATAAGTTAACTACACTAATTTATACAATATGTTCATCCTTCATCCCGTTTGGATATTGTTTAACAGCAAGCCTGTAGCAATTAAGCCTTTCATACTTTTGATCATATAGGAATAAAAACATTATTTCTTAGTCATGATTAAAGCCTCTTGGAGTTCTCCTATTCAAACTGAAGCATAGAGCCTCCTTCTCTATAATTCCATTTTACTGGAAAGTCAATATAGTGCTTACCATTTGTGGCAGTTTTGATTTTCGGACTTCTGCTTCGGTTTTCTTTATGTATATTTTTTTCTTTGTCTTTTCTTCTGCTGTTTTCTCCTCTCGCATCTGCGCAAAGAACTTATCAAATTTCTATCTATTTTATTTTGTGCTAAAGACTGGGGAGCTACATTACAGAACAAGTCCTGGTGGCACAGTGGTTGGAATACAGTATTGCAGGCAAACAGCCTGGAGTTCGATCCTAATAGGCTCAAGGTTGACTCAACTTTCCATCCTTCTGAGATTGGTAAAATGAAGACCCAGATTGTTGGGGGCAAAATGCTGAATCTTTAAACCACCCAGAGAGTGCTGTAAAGCACGATGGGGCAGTATATGATCTACGTGCTATTGCTATAATAAACTTAGATTAAGGACTAGAGAGGCATTAAAAGCTAAGATAAAATCTCCTTCAAATTGAATTCAACTTAGGTCATTTTATGGACACTCCCATGTGATTGACACTCCCGTGTGATTTTCTTGATAGCAAAGGAGTCTCAGGTCATGATTTGTTTTTTATCAATCCAGAGTGCAGAATGTAAAACAATGGATTTAAATTATAGGGAAAAAAATCCTGAATATTAGAAAAACATCCTAACAGTAAGAACAAACTGACATTGGAACTGATTATCCCAACAAATGGTGGGTTTCCAGTCCATGGATGCATTCAAGTATAGCATAAGTGGAATGACCCAACAAAACGTACCAGCTGCTTCTTTGTTAGATTTCTGGCTTAATATGTTTCAGCATTCCATACTAAAAGACAATTGTTAAAATTTGAAGACAGTCTGTTGTCAGGCCATTTTTTACCTTGTCATTTCTTTCATCAAGCTGAGAAAATTTCTGTTCCATTCTCTTCTTTTTTTCTTCCTCCATCTGCTCTACTCGTTCTCGAGCTTGCAATGCCTTTCGCAGTCGCTCTTCACGCTTTCTGTGTAATAAGTAGGAAGCACAGCATTTATTCTGATGAAGATTCTTTGTATTGATCACAAATAGTTTACATTGGTAACTTTGCTATTATTTCTATAAACATGTATCTGTTACTGTAGTATCCACATTCTACAAAAGTTGCATTACACAACAACAACATTGCTAAAAGAAATTTGTCAGCGTAATCCCTATTTGCATGGGGGGTATAAACAGGTACTTAACAGTTTTGTCTCTTCCAACCGGCGTCTCTTTTCTTCCTCCACTTTCTGCTTTCTCTGTTGCTCTGCTTCTTGTTTTTTTCGAAGACTCTCTAGACGCTGGCGCTCCTTTTCCTAAGACGTTTAGGAAGGTTTATATTAACTGAAGTTGCTGTGACCATTTGCTGCCCAATTGCCAACTAGTTTTTCTTCCATCTTTTCCATCCAGATTAAATCACACCAAGGAAATGTGGCAGTGCAAATATGAAACACCAGCACATGCAGAATGACCCATCTCCAAAATAAGAGTGAACAGTGGTTTTAGGGCAGTTAAAGTATTTTTAAACAATTTGAAGCACTAGGATGACAATCCAGAAAATAAGGAAGATAGTTACTTACAACAAACTCCCCCTTTGTAGAACGAACATGGAAAGAAAATACAAATCAACTTCCAGGAACATAAATGCCTAATGACTATTTCATTTATCATGTGATTGAATAACAGCTCTATCTACTGTACATCGGTAAAGCAAAAGACTATAGAAAAATGCAATATGGCAGCAGGCTCAGAATAAATGCCTTCATTATCCTCTATGCATAGCAGGCAAGGACTTCAGCACTGAAAGTACTGTATATTACCTCAACTGCTATTTTGAAGAGATTTCAGATACGTTTCAAGTAAGTCAAGAGTCTGAGCAAAACAAGAGACTTCCTTTGCTGACTTACTTTTTATCCCTTTGATGTCTATTTCAACTTGTTTTCTCTGGGAGGATGGGAGAGAAGGGGGAAGGTGTGGGGAGAAACAGAGTTGACTACATTCAGCTTCTATTCCATTGATCTCCTCAATGGACATCCCTCTATTCTCATAGTGCCATTTTCTAATATTTTATAGCAGGAGTGTCAAATTTGTGGCCCATGGGCTGGATGCATCACATTCTGTCCCCGCCCCTACCCAGTTTAGCGAAGGGAAAAAAATGTCCTGATACATCACGTGACACCATCGTGACGCTGCAAGTTTGACACCCCTGTTTAATAGAATCAATGTGTTCACTGTGGTGCAAGAATGTGGTATAAGGAGTTGTAACTCTTTCAGCATAGAATTGGGTTATAATAATACATTTGTATCTTTACTAATATCATTAGTAGCTAGTTTTCTGATATTTATCTCATTCATATCTCTCTCTTTCTCTCTCTCTTTCTCTCTCTCTCTCTCTCACACACACACACACACACACACACTCTTAGACCTATAACATGACTGAAACAGGAGCTGAACTTAGACTCCATCATGCAGAATATTTTCTCTGCCACAAAGATCTGGTTTCTCTAACCAATTTTAGCAGTTCCTGATATAGAGATTGTTATTACTTCTAAACTTAAATGAAAAAATCTGTTACCTTGGTGGCAGATCTACAAGGAGTACTATGTTTGGGGACTTTGTTCCCTGAAGACCCAGGAGATTTGAGAAGATGATTCTTTTGCATGGTTTGAAAGAAGTTTTTGAAAGGTCGTATTATCTGTCAGAAAAGTATACATGCTTTTACTGCTTGGGCATTACACACAATAGTATATTAATATGATATTTACCTACCTTGGACGGGCCAGACGTTGACAGCATTTTCTTTGCAGAAATGGGTGTGGCTGTATGACTGAAAGGACTAGAATTTTTATCTTCCATGCATGAAGGAGCAGGTGGGTCCTCCACTGCTTGTCTATAACTTTGCTTCCTGGAAAAAAAAGAATAGCCATAGCAATAGCACTTAGGCTTATATACTGCTTTATAGTGCTTTACAGCCCTCTCTAAGACGTTTACAGAGTCAGCATATTGCCCCCAATAATTTGGGTCCTCATTTTACCCACCTCAGAAGGATGAGGTGAAGGCTGAGTCAGCCTGGTGAGATTCTAACTGCCAAATTGCAGTCGGCAGTCAGCAGAAGTAGCCTGTAGTATTGCACTGACCACTGTGCCACCGTGGTTCAATATACACAAAGTTTTCTCAGTTACACAATGTACGTATTCTTGCTTAGTGGATTAACTTAAGACTTTTACTATTCAGCATATCCAAAAAGTTTGGGAGTTTTCCTTCAAAAACTAGCCTCTTCAAAAGTCAAAATGGAAAATCTTGGAAAAGTCTTAAAGTTGGGGAAAAGAGAGAAATAGAAAGAGGGAAGGAGAGATGTATGTACCTAATCAAGCACCGAAAATAAAGTGTTCTATTTTCATGAGCTATGAGTCCAACCATTCAAAAGATTCTGTTTCATAAAAAAGTGTTAATAATTTCAACCCATTACTTATGGACCACATTTATAATGGCAGTTTATCTTATTTTAATATTGTATCATCATTTATAGCCAAAATTTATTTATTTATATCCTGCCTTTAATATTTTTGTGAATAGGTGGTGAACATACTGAGGTGAAGGAGTACCTCAGACTCCTGCCTTCTGTTTTCCCCGCAACAGCAATCCTATGAGTGGAGTTGGACTGAGAGAGAGTAACTGGCCCAAAGTCACTCAGATGACTTTCATGGCTCACAGTCTGCTGGTTTCTAGCCTGATGCCATAAGTACTAGACTAAAAAGAATTAGCATATGTAGCTATTATTTCTAGACTCAAACCATAATGTTAATCTTCCATTATTTTAATTTTTTACCAATACACTCTCTTCCAAAATTTGTTATAGGAAAAAGTTGATAACTGGCAAATAGTAATTTCTAAATTCAATACCCTAATACTCATGAGATGATTGTAATTCCAGATAATTTCTTATTGGTAGAGTTGATAGATTTCAATCAAGCAAATTTAAGGAAAGAGCTCCCAAAATATTTCCAGCATGTAAATTGTCCCACCAGAGGCAAAAATACTTTAGACCACTGCTACACAACAGTAAAATATGCTTATAGGTCTTTACTACAAGCAGCTGTGGGACACTTTGACCACTGCATGATTAACCTTGTACCTGGCTACAGACAAAGACTTAAAACCATGAAACCAACAATTAAATCAGTGAGGACTTGGTCAGATGAGGCAAAGCTGAAACTCCAGGCCTGCTTTGATTGCACTGATTGGAATGTTTTTGAAGATGCCTCTGTAGACCTAGATGAGCTCACAGATACTGTAACATCATAACTTCTGTGAAGACTTATGTGTACCAACAAGGAACCTGCAAATATATAGTAACAATAAACCTTGGTTCACAGCTAAACTTAAGCAGCTATGTCATTCCAAAGAGGAAGCCTACAGAAAAGGTGACAGAATGCTATATACAACCAGGACAGAAACATATTAACAAGAGAGATCAGAGCAGCAAAAAGAAGCTACTCTGAAAAGTTAAGGAATCAGTTCTCAACAAATGAACCAGCAAACATGTGGAAAGCTCTTAAAAACATCACTGGCTTCAGCAAACCTCCTTTCCAGGCAGAAGAAAATCAACAACTAGCAGATGATCTGAATGTGTTTTACTGCAGGTTTGAAAGGAAGCTACAGCCACCTATCTCTACAACCCACATCTCAAACACAACAACAACAACCAAGCCTCCTACAACCGGCCCCAATCCATTGGGTTCACAACCTCTGGTGATCACAGAAAAAGAAGTGCAAGATCTATTACACAGACAAAAGCCAGGAAAAGCACCAGGGCCAGACAAGATCACTCCTTCTTGCTTAAAAGTCTGTGCTGACCAATTGGCCCCCATCTTCACCCGAATCTTCAATAGATCACTAGAGATGGGCTATGTTCCTTCCTGCTTCAAATGTTCTACTATCATCCCAGTGCCAAAGAAGCCCTCCATTAAGGAACTGAATGACTACAGACCAGTTGCTCTAACATCTGTAGTTATGAAAATCTTTGAAAGGCTTGTGCTGTCCCATCTGAAAACTAATCTGCTGTTAGATCCCATGCAGTTTGCATAATGAGCAAATAGATCGACAGATGATGCTGTTAACATGGCTCTGCATTACATCCTACAACACCTTGAATCTCCCAATACCTACGCAAGGGTCCTCTTTGTAGACTTCAGTTCAGCATTCAATACCATCATTCCAGACACTCTTCTAAGTAAATTAAACCAACTACCGTGTTTCTCACATAATAAGGCCGGGCCTTATTTTTTTTTGACCCCCGAAAAACCGGCTAGGCCGTCTTTTCGGGGGTGACTTAATTTCCCCCCCCCTTGCATCCTCGGGTGGGCGGGCAGCGACAGCTTGGATGTTCGGGAGACCTTCCACCACCGTTAATTTCCCTTCTCCCTTGCTGCCATAGCGTTACAGCAACACCGCGGCGTTTGGCGCAGCCACGTGCAGCCAGTCAGGGCTCCTCCCT